TCCTCTAATTCTAATCAGAAGGCTGAGATCCAGAGAATCAAGGTTTGAAGCAAGAAAAGCCCTTGGAATTCTATCTCCAAAATAACCAGCAAAAAGCCTACATGCCTTTAGGCATGTAGGAATATTTTGTACATATGATGCATGTATGAAATATTGGACAAAGTATAAATAAGCAAGATTCTTTGCCTCACTATAACTTACACCCCTCCCCTCTTATTTTTGGTACTGGGGAATGAACCCAGGTGACATTGCACTTGCCACACAAGCACTTTGCCACTGAGCTACATCCCAGCCCACTCCCTTCCAACTCATTATACTAAACATGGCTAACCCTGGGTATTTTCCCTTGCCTTCAGCTTTCAGACAGCTCAAATACTTTCACTGCAAGAGAGTAACTGATGTGATACAAAGATCCAAGAAACAAGTCTGTCACCAAATTATTAGACTTACCTTTTGTAAGTCTGCTTTCTCTCTAATGTAAGGTAAGTCAGATAATCTCTCATTTAAAATTGCTAGAAATGTAATTTAGGAGCTGGGTGCTCATGGCTCATGCCTGTAACCCCAGCTACTCAGGAGGCTGAGATCTGAGGATCGAGGTTCAAAGTCAGTCCTGGCAGAAAGTCTGTGAGACACTTATCTCCAATAAACCACTCAGAAAACTGGAAGTGGTGCTGTGGCTCGAGTGGTAGAGTGCTAGCCTTGAGCTAAAGAGCTGAGGTACAGCACCCAGGCCCAGAGTTCAAGCCCCATAACTGACAAAAAAAAAAAAGAAAGAAAGAAAAAGAAATGTAATTTAGGGTCAACTACATTACTTAAAATAGTAAAATCCATTAATCTAAATAACAATGTTACCAATAATGAAATACTATATAACCTTAAACAGTAGGAGCATGTATGCTAATTTTAAAAGATGCCCCAGACAACTTATTAAAACATGAAAGTAGGGCTGGAAAGGTGGCTCAGTGGTAGAGCGCTAGCCTTGCATGCCTGAGGCCCTGGGTTCAATTCCTCAGCACCACATAAGCTAAAAGAAAAAAGCCGGAGGTGGCGCTGTGGCTCAAGTGGTAGGGTGCTAGCCTTGAGCTGAAGAGCTGAGGGACAGCACCCAGGCCCAGAGTCAAGGCCTCACGATCGGACCCCAAAAAATAAAAATAAAAAAATAAAACATGAAAGTAAGGGCTAGTTGTGGTGGCTCATGACAGTAATCATAGGATACGGATCTAGGCCAATCCTGCAAAAAGTTAGCAAGACCTCATCTCAACCAAGAAACCTTGCATGGTAGTGTGCACCTGTCACTCCAGATACATGAGATACCATAGGTATGAAGCCAGCCCCAGCAAAAACACAAGACTTCATGTGAAAAATAACAGAAGCAAAAATGGACTAGTTAGGAAGATGGTGAATTTGAGGTCAGCCTGAATAACTTAACAAGATCCTGTCTCAAAATAAAAATAAAAATGGACTAGTGCTGCTCTCACTTGTCTAGTATAGGTAAGGCCCTAGGTTCAATTCCCAGTACCATACTCCCCTAAAGACCAAAACACAGACAGAATGATCCCATCATATGTATTTTAAGAGCAACATACATTTAAGTGCACAGAAATTTCCTAGGAGGCCACTAAAGCAACTTCAAAGGTATAGAGCAATTGGAAGTACTATTTACTTCTCAGTTTCTTATAACATTTGAAAAAGTCTCAAATAACAAGCATGTATTCTTATGATTTTTAAAAAAAGAAACTAAAAGAAAAGGTTTACTGATCTAGGTCCTATAATTAGAAAAGATCTGGACTTAAGTACTGACTGTTTAAATGCTTAATAACGTTTGTGTTTTACTTAAAATTGGTTTCTCCATTTGTAAGAAGTTAAAAGTACTAACAACATAAATTGTTCAGAGAAAAGAAGAAATCAGACCTATAAGACACAACATAACACAGCACACGAAGAAAACTATTAGCATCTGTTATATGGTTATTATGACTATCATCATAAACTCCAGAAGCTACTATCTTTACAATCAGATTGGACAGTTGATTCAAATCATCATGCAGGTAACTAAGTTCCTTTATCTGAAACTATAAATGTGATCAGTTTAAGAACATTTGCTATTTTAGGTTTTAAAAAAAAGTTACATTTGCACTAATGGCACATGCCTGTTATCCGAGCTACACACCCCTATTCTCCTAGCTACTCAGGAGGCTGAGATCTGAGGATCACCATTGGAAGCCACCCTGGACAGGAAAGGCTGTGAAACTCTTATCTCCAATAAACCACCAGAAAACGGGAAGTGGCCCTGTGGCTCAAATGGTAAAGTGCTACCCTTGAGCTGAAGAGCTGAGGGACTGAGCCTAGACCCAGAGTTTAACCCCATGACCCCCCTTCCCCCCCAAAAAAAGGTAGTGGTGCTGTGGCTCAAGTGGTAGAGTGCTTGCTTTTAGCTGAAGAGCTGAGGGACAGCTCAGGCTCAGGCCCAGAGTTCAAGCCCCACAACCAACCAAAAAAAGAAAAAGGTGAGTATGGTAATCTTAATTAAATAAATACCATTTCATCTGAAAGGAACCAGAATACTGAACATGACTCATACAAACTTCCAGCCTGATTTCTTTTCTAGTTTAATATACAATGATTGCTCATTTTCCTAAAATTTGTGGCAATGATCTTGCACATAGTCTGCCAACTAATTACAAATAGCATGTCAACTGAGTGGGAAATAGAAATAAAAAATCTCCATAAAAATTAATTCTAAAAAAAATCATGCTGAATGGCTCTTGTGAATGGAACAGATCTTCATAGAATTTCACAAAATACAGTCTTACTATTATCAAATCAAAACAGTCCAAGTTATCAATCTACTCTTTACACTGAGTACTGACACTATCCAATTTAATTTTTCCACTAAACTAAGAACACATCCTAAACTCTGTAACAACTGATGGGACATTAATATTAAAGTTAAGTCAATATATAGTATAACTGAATTGATTCTATCAAACTAGAATTTTAACAGAACCTCCACTATTGTAAGAAGAGTTTCACTATCAATGTGATGGTTTTAAGTATGTATTACTCCAATTACAACTATGAAAAAAAGGTCAGGCAGACATTTAATCCTTTAAAATATGAAAATGAAACAGACTCCACCTGGTATCAATTTATCTACTGTAAATAGTTTTTAAACTTCTATAATACTATTTCAAATCATCCAAGTAGTTTCCCTGGAATAAAGAATTACAATAACTTTCCTGATAGTGAACTGACTTTCCACTAAAATAAAAATTAAAATGAGTAAGGAAAGGTTGTAAGAATAAATGAAAGGTTGTAGGAACTACATGCCTACTACACCGCTCAACTGGCATTTGGGACAGTGTACTGAGCTAGCTACCAGAAAGCAGAGACAGGGAAGAGTTCATTAAAATTAAAAAAAAAAAAAAAGCACTATTCTCATCATGCCTATCACCTTATAACTAAAAGCTATCAGAATAATAAGATGCACATCTCTAATTTTCCAACACTGAAAATACAGCAAGCAGATAAACTCCCACTGGCAATCTTCCTACCCCTTCTCACCCCCACACAGTGCTTTTGCCAAGAGCACAGCCCCAAGTAAAATAACCGATGCAATTTCCTTGTTTACTTAAAGAATTGCAGAAAACATGTTGACTGCTTCGGAGGCTTCTGAAACCAATCAATATTTTAAAAGACTTTACAGAATCATGTTTTAAATACGAAGAATAATAACGATTCATTCGGCTAGTCAAAAAGCTAGTTTTAGATTTATTAAAATGTTTTAATTTTACACTGCAGCACATCAGCATGCCTGGTTTGCAACCAGTAGGTAGAGGAAAGAGAGGGGGAAGCAGCAAAACACACAAGATGGAAAACACCACTATATCCTTCAGTGGTTATGGATAACTGTAAATGACCCAAGAGGTAAGGGAAGAAGAGTTCATGGATAGAAAGAAGGGGGAAGGGAGAGTAACACTGTGAGCTTGTCCTCTTCCAGATTCACACTGATGTCGGGAAGGAAAAGGAATTTATTTACACTGCAGTGCCTGGCAGCAAACATGGCTGCCCCTGCCCCTTTTAAATCTGAATAGTCTTCCCTCCCTCACCCAAACCATCAAATTACGGCCATGCCTCTCCCTGTCTCCCTACCATAACACAAACATATCTTCTCTTCCCTCAAAACAGTAACACCCACATCGCCCCCGTTTCACAACAATTTACAACCCCATAACCACTAGCTTCTCTGTTCTCTGGCCTTGAAATAAAAGGCATCAGAACATACACAAATATAGGAACAAAAGGCTTTCCCCTACTAACACTTTAACTACCCCCATCCTCTTCTTTTCCTCCCACTCAGTGACGCTTGGTGGATCGTTCCCATCCCTTCCAACATTCACTTAAACCCAATCGTGTGTCTTTCAGTTTTCTGCATCTATTTCCTATCTTCCTATTTGCATCCTGCCTCAATCATTTCTCATCCCTTTCTCAATTTATCTTTTCCTCCACTTTGATTCCCTCGTTTCTCCTTTGATTCTCGTAAGATGTCCCACTTCTGTATCAAATCTACCCTCTTTCTCCCCCAGACTCTTCCAGTTCCCACACTCCGCCCCAGACCTCCGTATTTCGCAGTCCACCCATGTCTCCAATCGCCAAATCTAACTCTTCTCCCCTTTCCCTGCCCCTCCCCCGTTCCCACCTATATCCCCGCCCCCATCCCACCTCCCCTCCCAATTCCCAACCCAGCCACTACATCTCTCAACCCAATCCTACCTCCCCTGCCCCACCCCCCAATTCCTTCCACACCCCCCACCTTGCCATCTGCTCTCCCCAATAAGACTCCCCACGAACGCTTTCAGGCCACCCGCTTCTCTCGTCCCCGGGTCTCGCTCCTTATGGGTGCCCCATCCCTAGGCCGCCCCCACCCCACCGATTCCTCTTCAAACCTCTCCTTGCCATACACACAGATGCACACGCACCTTCACACGCACGCACTTTACCTTCAGTTTGTTCCATTCTAACCCCCCGGCCGTGTCAGTGCGATCACAGGAGAGACACGGAGGCCCGGAGTCAGGCGAGGGTTCGGGCAGCTGCCGGAGCCGCGGGGGTAGGAGACGGAACCAAGCTAGGCCGCATGAAATCCCCGGACTAGATTTCCCCCGCGCCGGGCGCATCAGCCATGGCGGCCCGCACCGACGTGGGCCACGGCTGGCCCGGGCCGGCCGCGCTGCGGGGTGGAGGAAGGCTGCGGGCGGTGGAGTGGGAAGGAAGGCGACGGGACGGGGGCCGCCGCGCAGCCGCTGGTGCTGGAGAAGAGCGTGTGGCTGGCGGCCCGACAGGGCGATAGGGTTCTCGGGGTTCTACTCAGAACCTGCACACCTCTCCGCGGCGTCCCGCGCACAGCCTCGTCGGCCCCCGCCTCCGCGCCTCCGTGCCGCCGCCCGCTCGCGCTCCCGCCGCCGCCGCCGACACCGCCGCCGCCGCGCACAAAGCCCCCCCCACCCCGGCTCTTGGGGCGCCGCCGCCAAATCCTCAGCCTCTCATTGGCCGCGAGCCGCGGTGCCTGCCGGGAAATGCAGTCCCGGGTTAGGGGCGCTGGGGACGAAAGGAGGAAGAGGCCCGGTCAAACGCGCGACGGGGGAGGGGAGGATGGGGGCGGGGGCGGGGGCGGAGGAGGGGGGGAGGGAGGGAAAAGAGCCGGAGCCCGAACCAGAAATACGAGCGGGCGCTAGAGCGTCTAGACCAGACGCGGCGCCGCGGGCTATGAAGCAAAGGGACGGCCCAGGACTGGGCGAAAGGGTCGGATGCAAGACTTAGAGGACCGGCGAGGCGGGCCTGGGCTGGGCCTGCCAGGTAAAACCGTGCTCGTGCGTGTTCTCCGGTGCCTAGTAAGCGCACGTATCGAATGCCCTTTGGTACCCTCGGAGTGGCCCTGCTTACAGATCTTAAATAAGAGGAAGAAGCTGCCCTGAGTACGCGGTCCCAAAGACCCCTGAGCGAGCGGGATGGCTCAGCCGCGGCTGTCTGTCCGACAGCTGTCAGAAAAGAGCGCCCTAACTCCGAGGGTTGGCCTGCGGAGACCAGGGGTAGCGATCCAGCCCTTGAACCTGGGCGGGAGCCGTCTCCCTTTCGGCCCCATACGACTCGGAAAGCCCCCGGCTCGCAGTGTGAGGAGAGCGGGCGGCTACGGCTTCCCTTTCAGGAAGCGCCGGGACCTCCCGGGCAGGCGTCGGTCTGCGCCGCCTTCTTCCTGCTCGCACCGCGCGGCCCGGAGGCTTGTGGGTAACCAGGAGGACGTCAGCGCTACTGCACCCTGGACCCCGGGGGACCGAGAGGGCGCCGTGCCCGTCACGTGCGGGGGCCCTTGGGTGCTCCAGCCAGACCTTTGCACGGAGTGACGCGAGGGCAGCGGTCCCCGACCGCTCACGCTAGAGCGAGCAGAGGCAGCAAACTCTGCGAACCTCCAGCCCTCCCCCTTCTAGGAAATATGTGTAAAACAATGGAAGGCCCTGGGTGTATGACACAGTAAGAGTCGTGCAAGGGCGTGCAGACGAGCGGTATTTCCTGGGGCCTGGTGGTAATGACTTAGAGCGTGGCAGCACGGAGACACCAACAACGTACAAAGGAAACCTGATGAGGAAACCTGCGTCTTCGGCTCTTTCCGGAGAATTATAGACACTAGCACTACTAGATAGTCCTAGTCTCTAATAGACCAGATACTGTCCAATCTGGCACTGTTACAAGAAACTCCTAATATCTTCATCATTGGATATACTGAAGTTAGAATTTTATTTTAGTGGCAGTCCTGGGACTTGAACTCAGGGCTTACCACTTTTTGGTGGTACTGGAATTTGAAATTGGGGTCTTCCATTTGCCTGGCACTCTACTACTTGAGCCACACCTTCATCTCCGCTTTCGCTGTTTAATTACTTTGGAGAGGGAGTGATGGAGGCTAGTGGAGGTTTCTGGCCCCCGCTGATCAAGCATGTTTACAAGCAAGTACCACCAGTACCCTGCTTAACATAATTCATAATAATGCTAACGACGATACTGAGAATTAAGAATCCCTATTACTATTTTCTCCATTAAAAATAATAATAATGGGCTGGGAAGGTGGCTCAGTGGTAGAGCGCTTGTCTTGCATGCCTGAGGCCCTGGGTGCCAATTCCTCAGCACCACATAAGCAAAAAGAAAAAAAATCCGGAAGTGGCACTGTGGCTCAAGTGGTAGAGCACTAGCCTTGAGCTGAAGAGGTGAGGGACAGCGCCCAGGCCCAGAGTTCAGGCCCCACGACCGGACCCAAAAAAAAAAAACAACAAATATTCTTTTTCAAAACAGATGACTCCTGAATGTAATCCTAGCTACTCAGGAGACTGGATTTGAGAATTGCAGTTCAAAGCCAGCCCAAACTGACAAATCATTAGACTCATCTTAAGTTACACAACAAAAAACTGGAAGTGGTAGAGCACCAGCCTTGAGTGTACAGGCACAAAAATAAACACGTAAGTGCAGATGGCCAAGGAAGCCACCTGAACCTAGTTTGCCTATTTTCTGGAAAGAGAAAAATTGGTCTTCTACCCCTATATGATTCTCTTCTACCTTCCTGTAACCTAGTTCGGTGATAAACTGTCCCTTTGATCTAGCACCTGGATTCTCCCCTAGAGAAGTTGGTAAATTGTGCCCAGAAATTTAATTTTAGCTGCTTTTAGTAGCTATGCTAACAACAGAAGTTTAAAATTGAAATTCTGTGAAGTATTCAGTGTTCCTGAAAAAGCATGGATGAAGAATTTTTCTTTGACCTGAAGCCAGTCTTAGGGAAATAGACACTAACATTTTTTCAGCATCCAACATCTTCTATAGACACTAAGCAAACAGGTCATCAAGATAAATCTAACATAATTATGGAAAAGTTGTTTTTCTATTTTGAATTATATACAAGAACTCTTTATATAGCAAATCTATACCAAAACTAAAGAAATTGCAAACCTAGAGAAGGGAGACATTACTTTGAACAAATAGTAAGAGGTATTCTTAACATACCCTCTCTTTTTTTGGTACTGGTCCAGGGCTTGAACTCAAGGCCTAGGTGCTGTCCCTGAGCTCTTTTGCTCAAGGTTAGTGCTATACCACTTGAGCCACAGCTCCACTTCCAGATTTTGGGGGTCGTTAATAAGAGTCTGGCTTTGAACCTCAGCCTCCTGAGTAGCTACAATTACAGGCATGAGTCACCAGTGCCCCTCATTTTTTTATTTTTTTAAGAATTGCTTACAGGGCTGGGAAGGTGGCTCAGTAGTAGAGCACTTGCCTTGCATGCCTGACGCCATTGTTTCGATTCCTCAGCACCACATAAGCAAAAAGAAAAAAGCCGGAAGTGGCACTGTGGCTCAAGTGGTAGAGTGCTAGCCTTGAGCTGAAGAGCTGAGGGACAGCGCCCAGGCCCAGAGCTCAGGCCCCACAACTGGAACCAAAAAAAAAAAAAAAAGAATTGCGTATATATGGCTATGGTAGAAAACCTAGCTCACCTTTCTATTTTATGAGGCCAATATCCAAAGACAGTACTGGAAAAGAAAGCTAAATTGGGGTGTGGCTCTTGATAGAGTGCTTCCTAGCAAAGGCAAATCCCTAAATACAAACCCCAAGTATTGTGATATAAAAAAATAAAAGAAGGGGACTGGGAAGGTGACTCAGTGGTAGAGCGCTTGCCTTGCATGCCTGAGGCCCTGGGTTCAATTCCTCAGCACCACATAAGCAAAAAAAAGAAAAAAGCCGGAAGTGGTGCTGTGGCTCAAGTGGTAAAGCGCTAGCCTTGAGCTGAAGAGCTGAGGGACAGCACCCAGGCCCAGAGTTCAGGCCCCATAACCAGACCCCCCCCCAAAAAAAAAAAGGAAAGAAAGAGACAGATTGAGAGATCAGAGAGACCAGTGGTGCATATTTTCTCTCACATGTGGAAGCTAGATCTAAAATACACCAGTACATGATAAATTATACAGGCATTCACACAAAGAGACCAAAGGAGGATATTTAGTGGAGGAACACAAAGGTGCAATGTCTATGTGCCTCTGATAATATAAAATAATATTTATGGAAATGAACTCCAGGAAATGGAAACAAGAGGGTTTTTTGTTGTTGTTGTTTTGTCCGTTGTGGGGGTTGAACTCTGGGTTTGGGCGCTGTCCCTGTACTCTTCAGCTCAAGGCAAGTGCTCTACTGCTTGAGCCACAGCACCACTTCCCATTTTCTAGTGGTGTATTGGAGATAAGAGTCTCACGGACTTTCCTGCTTGGGCTGGCTTTGAACCTCGATCCTTGGAACTCAGCCTCCTGTGTAGCTAGGATTACAGGCATGAGCCACTAGCTCCCGGCTGGTTTTTTTTCTTTCTTTCTTTATTGCTCTTTTTGTTTTCTGTTTTGTTAGTTCATTTGTCTGTCTTTGGGAGGGCAAAGGGGGGATGTCACAGAAATGAAGGCAAAGGGTAAACTATATTGAAAGTGAACTATACAACTTGTATGTAGGGACAGGAGAAAAAAAACTGTGAGAGAGCCAGGAAAGGGGAGCCCCTCCCATTGTCCAAAAGGAAATACACTCATTACCTGACTTACATAACTGTAATCCCTCTGTATATCACATTTAGAATAACAAAAATATTTGTTAATAATTCATGCTGTGATTTGTGATGTTTGTAAGTTAAAATTTATCTAGCCTCATCCTTTAACAAAAAATTGCTGACATATGGCTATGGTAGGAAACCCAGCTCATCTTTCAGAAACTGGGCAAGGAATCCTTCATCTGCCTTATGAATACTTAATGAGTTTTTACTGTGTCTGGTTGTAAGTAAATACAATGCATGAATATTTCCCAGTATAAAATGTCTCCCAATGAATTGAGAGGAATATTTTTGTATCCTTTCTAATCTTTTCCAGAAAAAAATACATGTATGTGGAAATACAGTGAGTGATATGTTTGCAAAATGGGTATGAAGGCTATACCTATCCTTTAAAGCTAAAACATTATCCACTGTGAATTTTCAGGGAGGGAAAAGTGATGTGAAAAGATGCGTAGATTTATTTTAATTCTTGTAAACATAAAACCTGAGATGAAACCTTTATATGTTAAGTTGGGTATCAGATATTCACAAAGGGACCTCTAGCGGCTAAACTGAAAAGTTTTATCTACTTGACATAGTTGATCCTATTTGGTTATTAGCTGAAAATGGTTTCTGGATTCGAAGTAGTCTGCAGTTCTTACTGAAATTTAATCCCGCCATCTTCCATCCTCACACATGTGCTACCCAGATGAAAAAAAGTCTGTAACTGGCTCACATGTGAATAGGATTCTCCGTGAGAGAGCGACTCCTTATTGTCTGGGGTTAGCTGAGTCACTACAATTTTCATCTTTAAAAGCCGGGGCTGGGAAGGTGACTCAGTGGTAGAGTGCTTGCTTCGCATGCATGAGGCGCTGGGTTCGATTCCTCAGCACCACATAAATCAAAAAGCAGCCAGAAGTGGTGCTGTGGCT